TTTTTTTTTTTTTTTTTTTTTTTTTGCTGAAGAGAACTATGTGTAAAGGAATTAGATAAAAAGGAATTATGTTTATAGGGTTTTTGTGTCACATAATTTCGTTGAATTCAATGCAATCGCTCGGAGTTCGTTTTCGTTTAAATGTGTCCAATTTTTCCCCGTATTTGGTCCTGTCACATGTTCCTAAGTAAGCTCACTGAAAAAAAAAAAAGTATGGCAAACTTTTTATAAGGATGTTAAATTCTAGATGAGATAAGATAATCATTTTTTTTTTGCTTTTTGCTTTTTGCACAATAAAAAGGCTACTACAAATACGTCATGAATTACCCTACTACTAAGGGCCGATTGTAAGACTTCTGGCCAAGTGCTTGTCAAAGTGGTGGTTTGAGCCATGACCAGAGCTTGACCAGATGATGTAGGTGTGTATGACTCCCGGTTTTCTTCAGGTCAAGTCCCGGTCAGCCTTTGTTTTTTCTCGCAAACCAGTAGTTAGGCTGATTATCAGATTGACTGCTGGTCAGAATCTGATCACTGACTGAGACACCATGGTGGGTGGTAATACGAAAATAAAACATGCCGTATTCTATTTTCATCGGAAACATTAAAGATTTCCTGTATCATATTTTGCATTATACTTTTGTCCCCATGCACACGTAAGAAACTTTAATCCTAACCGCTTGCAATCTCAGACAATAGCCATTGAATTACTGATTATGAGACCTTGGACGGATGAGGGAGAAAAACATTTTTTTTTGTTTTTTTTTCCTGCACTAGACTTAAATCCGCTGAACTTTACCTTGAAGGTACGTCTCATTGTCGTGTCGTCTAATCTGAGCGCGACTATTGCGTTTTAAAAATTTCTTGCGTCCAATAATGCCCCCCCCCCATCAATTTTCATCAATTTTGAGCCATAAGACACATGCCTCTCTTTATAACGTCTTTATGTTTCCAAAATTATGTTTCCAATTCCTCAAGTCCACATTCGTGCGTAGGTAGTGTCTCTTATTTGCTCTCTACCTACTTTGCATGATTAATTAATAATTATTTACACCTGAATGGACGTATAAGGCCAAAAGTGATCCATTCTCACCAAGCAAGGTTGCAGCGTTGCCGCATAGTAGAGTGGTAAACAGGAGAAGACAAGAAGGAAATGTTCTCTATGAGTATCGATAATGATATGTCAATGCGATACTCGATTTTTTCTGCAGGCAAAGTAGTCTATTTTAACTCAATGCTGCGGTATCTTACTGTTACACTTCTTTGACAAATAAATTAGGACGTAGAAAAAGAAAAGGATGGGAAATGAATGAAATACTCCATTGTTAGTCAGACCAACGTGTGAAAAGTAAAATCAAATGAAAATTTAATGCATTTGGAATTGAATACTGTGCCCATAATGTGCGCGGAATAGGTAATCTTTGTGAGAAAAATATTTTTGTCCGCATTATGTAGCATCTTGACCCTCTGTATCATGATAGGCAATGACATCATCACACTTCCTTTTGCTTGCTTCGCGTAAAAGCTACTGAGTTTTTTCAGATATGTTTTTTCATAATATCGAATATTTCCCCCAACTGACAGGATAAAAGTATAGCATCAATCAGTAAGCAACGCCATGTATTTTTCAGAACTCGTCCTTAGCGTGCCCCAAAATTTCAACACTTTACCTGAGCCCCTGAACATTTCTCGTTCCAAATTTTTCGCGGGATTTCCAAATGGCAAATTCCTGAAAATTGCTGAAAATCTAGTTCAAGGGATGGATCGGTTTTTTTTAAAATAAATAAATAAATGCCGACAGTGACTTTGAAATTTGACAGCCACGTGTTGGCGAGAAACTCGTCAGCAGTGCCAGTGGGTCAACACGTATCCGTGACTTGGATGAAGATGTGGAAACCTGACTGCATTCTGCATCATTCATCAAGCATTCAGCTACACCCATACGTTGCGTAACTGGTGGAAGTATCGCTGAAAAAGAATATTTAAATCGAAAAAACATCCTTGTTTTTGTTTGGCTGCTAGTAATAGCTTGTATGGCCACTATTTTCAAGGCCAGTGCTACGATGTATCCTGCCGTGGATTCGCATTTGTTTCTATTTTTTATTACTTTTTATTTTGGNATCAAAAAACTTAAATTTGTTCGAATAGCTTTCTAGATTCACAATACACGGTCTCGTAAAGGTGCGTCGTTGACCTTGCAGTGTTGGATCGTGAATTCTCTTGTTGTGCTGCTTGCCTTTTTTGAAATCTCTGTAAATGAAAACTAAAGGGGTTGATATGTGCGAGTTAATGACGCGCCTTATCAACACATTGTGTTGGAGTTCACTGCTTGTTACTTTTTATTTTGGGGTGAAGTAAGGTCGCTACCTGAAGTAACACATCAGTACAAAAAGTGGAAGTACTAATTTTTAATTTTGCAGTTTTAGCATTATAATACCTCCACCTTTCACTGCGAAAAATTTGCAAATGTATGAAAGTATGACCAATGAAATACGTTGCGAGTTTTTCTTAAAGAAAGATTGTGTGGTCCGTTTCAGATAACTTGTCCTTTTTCCGCGCATACAGCGAAAAAAGACCAATTGTTACAGCCCGTCGTTGGTAAAGCACGTATCTGACATACTTTTTGCAAAAATGTATTGGTTTTTGCGGGAGATCGCACATTTATGAACATACTCAGCCATTCGGGTTTGATATCGGAATCTGAAAATTAGCAGTGACATTTTTCGTTTTCAAAGGTCGGCTGTTCATTTTGGCCTCGAG